TTTTAGTTCCTACAATAGGAGGGTCTTATAACACCTATAAGTTGAAAATATTTTTGAATCTTTATAAAATGGTTGCAATAAATCTAAATCCTCAGCACAGCCTTTTTCATGTACCTGGATAAATAAATTACGTAGAATTCACAGTGTTAAAGCCAGTCTCATGGAAGGCTATTTTCTACTGCTATCCTATAAATTATTCCAGTTTTTGTTCCCAAATTTATGCATTTAGATGATTTTAAAAATTGTACGTTAGGTACGTAAGGAGGCACTCTAAGCCTGTGACCTGTAATCCCAATGGTCAGATAACGCGTGTGAAGAGAGAAAAGCACTGCTGGGCTGCTGGGAGGTGACCACTGACCTGGGCCAGGTAGGAGGTATCTGCTCCTCAGAGGCCGTGAGCAGAGAACTTGGTCCAGGTCAGCAAGTGCGCCCGTGTCCTCCAGAAAAGCTTATCTCGGCACATGGTCCACATGACTGAGGGGGTACTTTGAGCCAGGTAGAAGCCCAAAGAGCTAAGTGTTCATCGCTGCTTTTAGGAAAACATTAGCAAGGGGCAGAAAGTGTCTCTTCATCCATTGCTTGTGTGATTTCAGCGATCTATTAATTTTGTCCTTCATATCATGTGTGTTTGTTCTGTCCTTCTCTTACTAGGTTTAAGAACTCTCACTGTTGCCATTAAAACAGAGAAGGACCAGTATTCTCAAAGTATCTCCCAGTTATATTTGTCCCTCTTGTCACATCCATACCTGGTTTCTACGTGGCCTCATGCATTTTTGGTGACTCGATGGGTTCATCTGTCTCAAACTTTCTGCTTGCAAATTCTAAGAGGGCTGAGATCCTTGGTCCAAACTTTTATACACCTTGGGTTTAGTTTATTAAAAACTAGCGGACAATCTAAGTAATCAGGTTTTTATTTTCTACTTGGTAAAATTTCTGTGCTTTAGGGAATACACATCTAGTACCAAAAGGCCATGTGTGTCTGCAGCAGTTGGATGGAAAAGTCATCTAATAGACCTATATAAACATTTGGAAGAAGTGTGTATTTCTGAAGATGAGTATCTGAGAGCAAAGTCTATGTATCATTTTTAAAAAAAAGCTCTTCTAAGTTAATTATTAATAGTAATTCTTTAATGCATGTTTCATAATTTATAACTACACAGAATTACATAGAATTATGAAATATCAACAAACTTTAAAACATGCTCCAAATCAGTGTGAAGAAAACTTGGAGCTCTTGAGAGCTGTGGAAGATAAATAGCAAGAATAATCATGTTATTGATTAGAAAACCCAACATCATAAAGATATTAATTCCACCTAAATTACCTATAAAAATACAATCAGGATTTCTGGAGGGAAGGTATAATTATTTCAAAGAAAATAATGGAGAATGAGTAATAGAATTAGCTAAAACAAATGAGATTAGACCTAAAAGGCATTAACATCTTTTCTACACCTTTGGTAATTAAAATTCCATGATGATGTAAATTAAGGTAAAGAGCTGCACAGGTATGTGGTAAAAGGTGGGATTTAGTATCTTTTTATATCAGGGGAAAACAATATGGATTATTTATATGCTTTGAGAACGAAGAGGTATATTGGAAAAAATAAAATTGATGCACACATTATATAATACATAAATATAAATTTTGAGTTAATTGAGTAAAACTTTTTTTTAAAATGCATTAAATTGCTAGAAAAAAAGTAACAATGGGAACATTGCTACTGATATTTCAGGCGTCTTAAAGCATTGCAAAAATATAGGCAAATAAAGAGTTCATGGAAAAAGAATTGCAAATAGATTTTAACCATAGGAAAATGTGTTTAAATTCACTCCTATTAAGAGAAATGCACACTCACGATACCGTGGGGTCCTATTTTTAGCATGTCAATCTGGCAAAGACAGGTCTGACGTCATACCCTGTCAGGCTGTGACACTGTTCCTATGAGATGTAGGCCTTCTTCTCTTTCCCTGTGAGGCCCGACTGCAGGGCCTCTGCAGACTGAAATTTGATGATGTCTCTCAAAGTTACAAATCTACATTGCCTTGGACGAGAGGTGTATTTTGAGGATCTTATCATACTGCCGCGTATACTTGTAGGAAATGGCATACCTACTTGTTTACTCATTAAGGCATGCTTTGACCTGTAAGCTTCAGTGCTCATTAATGGGGAGGGATTAAACCAATGATGTTCTCTAAGTCATGGGACTATATGCCGTGCAGCTGGTCCCATTGCGTGGACTTCCCAGGTGGGTGTCTTCCAGGCAGCCCCACATCCTGCCCTGCGAAACTGTGCCCTGGCAGTTTGTTTCGAGCTAAGCTTGCCTGCTCTTTGCCGAGTTCTTCTCTCTTACAAATTCTACCCACCACCTCTTCCCAGCCATCTCAGGAAAGGATGAAACACAGTTATTCATTATGTCAAGGAAATAACCAATTAGCCACTCGACAATTCAATAAGCTTTGTATAAATCTAGTGAACAGATGATATCTTAAATAAGTTTGATGAATTAATGTTTAATTCGTTTCTTGTAGAACCACGCAGACCTCCCTATCCTCAGTGGAAATGACACCCAGCTGCTGGTGGGTGACAGGACAGGACAATATTCGAAACTCTTTCACTTAGCAGTGGTCTTGAGGCTTCCAGGGACACTGATCAGAGGAAGTGAACTTCCTGGGCCCATTCCAAGATGTTCCTTCTGTGCCCAAGGCACCCCCTCGCTACCCAAGAGTTGAATGCGTACGGCAAAACTCTTTAAGTCAAATCTTATAATTGCTTCCAATTTGTCTGTGTTGCTTTTGGCAATTAACAAACTGAAATGTTATCATGAAGGAGTTCATCTCATTTATAAGACCAGGTTTTCCCTCCATTAAAATATGCAGGCACTCTGTTCTTTATTACCAGCAGGAGATAAATGGCTGGTTTTCGTTGCTGAAGAATATATAATGGTTAAAAAGTCACTTTTTTCCTCCAGCTCTACATAAATCACAGAACTAGTCAATATTTAATAATGCTTGCCTTGGTCTGGAGTCCCTTGATCACCCCTGTCATGTGTAATAGCTCCCTCTCCGATATCTTTGACATAAAAGCCCAGCTTTACTGCAATACTAACATGTAGAGGGTCATTACGGATCGACATTTACCTTAATCTGTGACTGCCAACCATGAACCGATAAATTCCAGCAGATTCCACTGGGAGAAATCAGTAAACTTCTCAGTGGAAAGAACTGAAGGAAAATTCTGCCGAGAACAGAATACATTTTCTACAAGGGCTCCTCTGCAAATGGGTTCTGACTTTTGAAAGTTCTCTTGCTGCGCAGCTTTGCAACATTTAATACCGTTTTGATGGTTTGAGAGACGGGATGACAACCGAAGATGACATGACTTAGAAGGCAAGCAGAAATTTTCTCTGCAGAAACAATGCAAGATTAAACACAAGGGGGAATATGGCTCTTGCATTATTCACCCACCTGCCTTGGCGGAAATAGCCAGGCTGTCATGGGTCCGGCCTAAATGTTGCTTCTTTTTTCAAATCGATCATCACTCCTTCACCTCATAATCTTACAAGCCCTCCAAAGCAGAATACATCAAAGCCCTGATTGCATAAAAAAGGGACATGCCGATCTTCGAGAGGAGCGGCTCAGACCACGCTACGAACTCCTCTCGTTGCACGTCTGCTTGCTGACATAGTGTGCAAATATGCACGCTCCTCTCAAGTTTCTGAAGCTCTGCTTTCGTTCTTTTACATGCTGAGGGTGTGAATCTTACAGATGGTTTCAGATAATGCATAAAGAAAGAAGCGTTTCAGATCCGAGGAACACTATCCTGTCCACACTATTGTTTGCTATGAGATGTACCCGGACTAACTTTGCACAGGGAGTGTGAACACTACATGCTGGAAAGGTGTACAAAACAAGGAGAGGGGTCAAGAGATTGGTGGAGGGGGAGGGAGGGAATGGAAAGGGGATGAAAAAAGGAATTGAGATGTGTTATGGACAGGCACCAATCCACACAAGGAAGGTAGATGTTATGCACTAATACACTAAAATTAAAAATTACTGGAAACTCCAACTCTATAAATAGTACGACCACTTTAGAAATGTGATAAAAGAAAATACTAAATAGAAATATAAGGTGCCTACTTATGCTTTTTTGTGCAGTAGGGAATTCTTTAAGTAAGCACCACATTATCACAGTGCCTAACTTGCTGAATTGGTTTGCTTTGACAATTCTTTCAAGGAGCCCCATGACTGAACATGTGTGACCCATGTTAAGTCAGTTTATTACTGTGCACGTACCAGAACTACCGGTTTAGTTTAGAAACATTAATATGACCTCCAAAATTAGCTTATTTAAGATGGACTGCAAAACTCATGCTCAGCTCTTCGCAGGAATAGTATTACAGTTTGAATCATCTTTTAAATGTGGGAATGAAAAGATGCAGCAGCCTCCCATTACCTGCAGGGGCAACATTTAAAGATCCCCACGCAGTTCTGAAATCAGATTTTCCTCTGCCTAAAGACCTATGAGAAAGCTCAACTCGTAAATTAGGCCCAGGGAGAGATGAACACGGTAAGTAGTAATCAAGCAGCACCATCGGAACAGAACAAGTACAGTAAGCCACTCGCTCTGCAATTTCCCATTATAGTAATTCAGGACAGTGGTGGAACCCTGGCGAGGAGAAAGGTGGAAAGTGAATCTGTGGACAAAGGCGGACTGCAGTGCCTGATGGCCCTGCCTCAACCTCCGGTTCATCAGAACTGGAGAAGGGCTCGTTCAACCAGGCTGCTTCCAGTCCCCAAGCCATCCTGATCCAGGGGCCAGAGCCACCAGGGCCTCAGCTTGCTACTGCATGGAGACCACACACTGAGAAACGCACTCATCACTCGCCAGGGCAGGGGATTTTCAGAGAAAATAAAGGAATTAAAATCAGTGGCTAGAAGACTCCACATGAAAATAGATTATTTTCTTATAATAACATCTTAAAATGGCACACAAATTACCTGGATCTGCATAGAAAGTCCCAGTAACAAGGACGGAGTACGTTAAGAGTCCATTGGGGTGCAGCGGTGCCCCCCACTTCACACGGGCTTCCCGGGCCCCCTCTGCTCTGACAAACACATTTACTGTTCCTTCAGGAGGAGCTTCCAGAGTTCGATTTTCCACCTGCGAGTATAAAAAGATTTATTTTTGTTTGCAAATAGAATAAGTACATGCTTCGCTTTGAGCATATTTCTTCAAAGAATCTCCTTTTGCTGTGAAGTAAACTATTTTGACAGTAGCATCTTGTCTGAATACCTCATTTTGTCAGCAGGATCAAAGCACACCTCATGTTTTCTTCCTCCTGCTGTGAAAGCTTAGAATGGAGCCCCTAACCAAGGCGGCAGCTTGTGGTTTCCAGAAAATGCGGTTCAGCTCACACAGGGATTGCATCCACGGTTGTGCATAACCATAGACTACTTTTAGGATCACTTTAAAATAATTTCTATGTGATAGCAAAAGAAAAGACATGCATAAGGTCTGTTTTTATTCGCACCTGGTGGAAGGGACGGCCTTTTGGCTTTTATCAAAAAGCCCAACCAAGCATTCTGATTTGCAATCTGCTTTTTGTTTTTGTTTTTGTTTTTGTTTTTTTGAGCTATGTGGCTCTTAGGTGCATAGAGATGGTGTCATGCTGATGGTAAAAAATAAACACACCCAAGGGACTGTAGCCCTAAGGTGTAACCACAGAAAAACCTAAGATGTACATCAGCCTATACAAAAATCAGGGAAAGATGAACTGGCACAAAATAAAACAATGATCCTAAATTGCACAGTGGTCAGAATGATTTCAGTAGCCAAATAGGTAAAATCAATCAGTGACCGGAAGAGGTTAGGGGAGCAGTTGAGATTGTTTATTATCTTTTTATCACTGGATTAAACATGATAACCATATCACCATAAACTCCTAAGCATCACTTATAAATATTTGGCATTTTACAATCTATTGAATATGTTGATAATTCTGACCTTATGATTAAAATACAAGCAGGCTCGAGCCTCCAAAGAAGGTGATCAAACACGAAATCCTTAGGCAGGCAAATATTCTCAATTATGAAGGCTTTATTTGTTAAGGTGAATACGCTTTCTCAATTATGAAAATAAATGTGAAAAAGACAGAGTGTTAATTTTTAATAAGTATGAGGTCACAAGATGTTTTATTTTAATCAGAGAAAGGCTACAGGGTTCTTAGATCTTTAATTCCTGCTCTTTTTTTTAGTTTAATAGCTATGTACAAAAAATGATAAAAGAAACTAGGTTTGAAAAATAACCATTCGTCATTTTAATATTTCATAATAACGCAGTGAGTTTCATTATGTCTATGTGCACAGTTCAAAGTATTGTAAGGAAAACTATTTCAAAAGGTTCCAAATAAAATGAGACTCAAAAAGTTGATTAAGGGCAATTTCAGGTAATTATATTATTATCCTCAAATACTTGGCTAATTCAAAATAAATATTTTTTTAATTTCCTTACGTGTCTAGATAAATACTCCAGTTTTCAATCTACATTAAATTTAGTCATTATACTACTTTGCTCTGACTGATACTTTTTTTAACCTTTTTTATTTCTTTATTTTGCCTTAAAGATAGTCTTGAGGGAAAGACTCTTGGGAACATAAATGTTGGCTTGTCTTTGACCTGGAAACCTCTTTTGACATGGAAAAATGTAGAGACCAAACATATAAATAATAAAATTTTCATCTTTAATAGATCTCTTACAATGTGCTACAACATCAAGTATAAATAATATTTCATTTAATTTTGTATTCCCATCCCTCTCAAGGTACACATTGGTAACAGTGGTGAGATCTGAGGCTTAGGAAAATAAGTCTGTTTTTCCAGGAGGTTCAGGGGGAAAACAGAGTTGGAACAGCTTTTCCTGTGGGCTTTTATTGACCATAACATAAACTGCTTTTAAGATTTAGATGTCTTAAATAACAGTTATTTGCTTCTTTGAAAAAAAAAAAGAGACCACCAAAGTGTAAAGCGCATGTGCCCACATGTGTGTGTGAGGTGTATTTAGGTGTATAACATGTCAGCACCAAGAAACCACAGCAGCTTTTAAGCCACAGCACACAGCAGTGACCTGTAGTTCTGCACCTCAATCTTAAATTGACCCTTGGAGGATCGATCCGATGAGGGCTCCCGGGTCAGATGCAGCTGTAAAATCCCCAGCCTCACCCTCTACCAGTTTATCCACCGCTGGCTAAGTGAGGGGCCTGTGGAGAAACTCAAGGTTATTACAGGAGCACAAGGTGTGCAAATGGTCTCCCTGCTGTCAGGAAAACAAGGGAAGCATCGGTCCATTGTTTCAAACATTAAAAACAGAACAATCCTCATTGATGGCTTTCACAGGACAGTGCTGTTTTAGCCTCTTTAAGTTTTAAGGCATCAAACTCTTTTTATACAACAATTTCTTCAAGAGTCAGATGCATTGTTGAAGTGGACAAGGACCCATGAAACCCCAGGGAAATTAGATGGGTGCAGGGTGACCCTCCCTCTGCATGAGGGGAAGCCATCTTTGGTCAGTCCAGGAAAACAAAACCTATGGAGCTACCAGCATTAGCATGGCATGAATGTAGACTTTACATGCCCACTTTTATTTTTTAAAATATTGTACTATAAAAAGTTTTTCTCCTGGCATGGTGGTGCATGCCTGTAATCCCAGCACTCATGAAGCTGAGACAGGAGGGTTTTTGTGAATTTGAGACTAGTCTGGGCTACCAAGTGAGCTCAAGGCCAGCTTGAACTATATAGTGAAACCTTGTCTCAAAAAGACAAAAAAAAAAAAAATACCCCTTCATTGCCTTTTCTAGTATATGAGCATCTTGCCAATTTTAAGGGTGAATCGAAACACTGTAGCATATTTCTCATAGAAAAGAACAAAAGCTATTTTCTTACATGCATGCATAGTGATGGTATTAAATATGTAGAAAATTTACAGTAAGCAGGCCTTTCTTTCTAAAATGCAAAAAGAAAAAAAGATCATTAAAAGATGTTGTTTAGTGAACAAAAATAAGATTTTCAAAAATGTATGCTTCAATTTTTGCCAGCAAAGAATTTAAGAATAGAATGAAATGTAGGAGGGCAGAGAAACCCTTTCATTTAAAATGGTGTGACACTAGGCTTCAAATAAAGCATATCTTTAAGGGATGTGAACATCCCACTGCTAGATTTGGCTAAATCTTTTTGCGTATCACATTCTAATTTAATGGTAGGGAACTCTGACTCTTAGGATTGATGCACAGATTTCTTAAATCATTAAGGGTACATTAAAAAGGATCATCAAAAATGGAGCCAAATCTGTAATACCCTTTATGATTGTGGTAGATATCCAGAACCATTTAAAGTACTCAGATATATCATTTCTTAAGGGCATAGTACATACTGTAATTGGCACAAAATATTTCAGAAGCCATTTGAAGACCATGGGTTTTAACTTCTTGGCAGCATAGAGCTGACTTGTTTTAAACAAAGATATTGTTGCTCAATCCCAGTGATTAGAGACGGATCGTTGACCAGGGAGAAACGTTTGCATACTGAGTACAGGATAAAGGAAAGTAGCACGGAGAGAAAATCACTCCATGCCTTAAGTCAGCATTGCGTGTAGAATGAATGAAGCTGGGGCACAGTAGGTTTTAACGATCCAATTCTGTGTTTTCCCCTCCCACCTGGGCACTGTGGTATTTGGTTTCTTAAGGTTAATATCTCCTGCTATCTGCATGGGTCGGTAACTGTGTCCCCAACGTTTAAAGTTGTCGGGATGTCAGGAGACTATGGGGAGCCAGGTTAGTAATCAGAGCCACGAGGCTCAATTCATATTTTGGAAAAACATATGCTTCCAGCTCATGTAAAGCGTTCTCTGTGCCTGTCCCTTTTCTCTGTTGAATGGAAAGTGCAGCTGGCCTGATGCCAATCCTGCTTTTAAGGGGGAGTGTCATCAGAGGTCTGGCTATAAAATGCTTAATGGCAATCAGGCTGTAGCTCAGCTCCACCGATAGATGATGTTAGCTGCTTGGAAAGCAACCAATCTCTGAAATGAGATGAGAGGTGTGATCAAAAATAAAGAAGCAGAAAGCTGTTTTTCAAGGTAATATTTATATAATACACTCAATGAAGACACAGTGCATTAAAATGACAGAGAATTAGCAAACATTGCCAAAAACTAAAACTAATGAGTCCTTCCCCTAAGAGAAGCTAAATCTAATTAAGAAAGGGACAAAAGGATAGTGTTTTGTCACTAAAGAATATCATGCTATTCTAATAGTGCATACATGAGGAATTGATTCCAAAAATTATATTAGAAATAAAAAGTGTAACCTGGTCAACCTTTTAACTGTTCATGAAATATAGATATATCTTATGGATTTCTGAAATTTGGGAGTCAAAAGTTGATATTAATATAATTTTAAACACTAGTCTTGAGAAACTATATCATATTCATAAAATAAAAATATTTTATTCTGAGATGAAATAAATTCAGCCTTTGGATTGATAAGTGTGCCAGTTTAAGGAGTACAATTTCACTTTTTAATCATAAATTTACTTACCTGGTAAGCCACTGTTAGGGAGAAAAAAATCTCCCTTACACATGTTGCTAAAATAGACAAAAATCTCTGTTAAACCGGTCAATTTATCTTTCTTTCAGTAAAATATACAGTCTCTTCTTCCTTAGACCTGTGTGCCAGCTTGAAACATATGTGAAATATAAAATCTTAGCTACTCTTAAATGGATTTTTATAAAAAGAGAAGCTTCTCATGGTGTTTGAAAGGTGAGAGCCCTGGCCACTTAGTTCTTCCTGGACACTCTGTCATGTGACCCTTTACACAGGCAAGGGTACAAATCCACGTACTCACCGTGGGGCCCAGAGCACAGCCTTTAGCTGTGCAAGCCTGGACTCTGAAGGAGTGTAGGCTCCCAGGAGCAAGCCCATCAGCATGGCAGCTGCGCTCTGAGGAGCTGTGGATTAACACGCCATCGAGATACAATCCATAACTTGTGATGACACCTGCAAAGATAGTAATTGGCTTTTAGCATGATCACCAGACAAGAGCAAGGACTATCTTAGAAAAGCAAGCCCTTCCTGCTGTTGATTTCCAGTTCTATGGCATCACAGCCTCACAGCATCCTGGGTCCCCTCTTCTAGCCTTGTCTCTCTAAAGGATAAAGCAAGCTTTGTCCCTGACATCACAATGTTAAGCTAATTAGCCCAGAGGCAGAACCAGAACCCTGTAGTTCTAGGAGGAGAGTTTTCCTGCTGTACCAAACTCGTAGCTGCGAGTTACATTTTATTGCTTTCTAAAAAAAACACTCTTCATAGATGTGAGTAAAATGACCCTGTTTGTTATTGAAGCCTCTATTACTCAGGACATACCCGGCTCTGTGCTAAGCACCTGGTATACACTGGATTCCTCTAAATCCTCTCTACACAGACTTCCCGTCAGGGACGCAGTGCCATTTTCACCCTTTTATGCATGAAGAAACAGAGACATGGAAATTCGGGAATTTGCTCCCAGTCACACAGCATCCAAGGGTCAGAGTCAGGAGGTGTATGCAGGTGGTTTGACTGGTCTCAGGTTCTCCGTGGTGACATCAAATCACCGAAACGTTCACTGTATAAATCATGTTCACGAGTGCGTCGGTGATTCCATGACTGGATGGGTTTAATGTTCAACTAAGACTTATTTTGGAAGGAAGGGCAAGTGCATTTTCATGAAATCGACTGGCAGAGAAGCAGGAGAGTTTGAAAAGTTTATTCAGCGGACTTATTTTCGTGAAAGGAAAGCTAAGTGTCAGCACAGCCAACAGCCTCTGTTCTCCAGAAATACAGAAACCTGCAGGAAACAAAGTCAAATCCATGCTAAATGAAAACTACTTCTAAAAGACGATTGATTGCACGATGGCTCCCAGAGTACACTTTGGGGAAAGTTTCTTAATGTTTCCTCTGGCACATAGTCGCCTGGAACAGCAGTCAGGTGTATGTGTCCCCAGGACACTGTACATCTCCATCACACCTTCACCCATTCATCACATTCCGAGTATTCTCATTCCTTGCTTAACTACCTGAGTTCCCGAATAGATGATGGGATCCCAAGACAATTGTGAGCTTTCTCACCCGTGTGTTCCCAGAGCTTAGCATCATGCCTGAGACACAGGAGGCATGTGGCAAACACTGATGATACCATAACGTGCAACACAGAAAAATATCAGCATCCACTGTAGAGCGACAATTTATGACTACTGGAAAAGAGGGTAAGTGAGAAGATAAAAGGCAGTGTTGCAGACCAGCTTAGAAGACTTTAACATAAGTCTCTAGCCAAGTCATGGTCATTGAGGGAGCTTGAGAGTCAGCTCCGGAGACCTGACTTTCAGGGCTACTGGCACAAAGATTTGGCTTTGTAAATGTCCAGAGAGTAGATCCAGAGTTCAGGGAGGAAGTTATGGAACCGTGGTCTCTGGACTCCTGTTTCTAAGTACTCCCCCCTCCTCCAAGGGACATGCTCACCTGTAGATCCATCCGCCTAGGGAACTGACAGAATAGTGCATGCATTGTCTGGTTTAATCCCTCACCACTGTGCAGAGCTAAGGAAGCGGGTGAGTTAACACCTATGCACACCGTGCCTCCTCTTACACTCTGTAGCCCACCATGGTCCAGCAGGTCGCTGCGTGAGCACCCGTAGACTTCCTCCGAGTACAAGCTCGCTGACAGTGCTGTGACTTGGGGTTGCTCCGGGGGGCAGGACAGGCTTTGAACTAGGGACTTTGCCTGCCAGGACTGGAGACTGAACCCAGGGCCTCTGCACAGAGCTACTGCCGCAGTGCTTTTTAGTTTTATTTTTCATTTTGAGTCAGGGTATTGGTAAGTCACTAAATTCCCAGAATGAGGTCTATCTCATGCTCCTCCTGCCTCAGCCTCCGAGAGTTCTGGGATTGAGGCATGTGCTACCATGCTGGCTTAGAAACCAACACTGGCTGCTGGGTTTTCTAGAGGAAGAAAGCATAGTCTGGGAAGCAAGCGCAAGAAGTCAGTGTCGTTCCTCTCACTGTCTCAGTCACCTACACAAAATAGGAGGGGTCACAACAAAGTACCGGTGGAATCTGAGACCATTTCTGGGCCACTTGGGAATCTCATTTAACTAATCCCAGTGAGTGAGGAGAAAGGTACCAGAAGGGAGGAGAAACTGGCTTCCCCTGTATGCTGATCTTTTCCCTTCAGAGCATCTCTTCCTATGGCCAGGCCTGATAGTATAAGCATTAAAAGTCTGCAGTAACCAATAAAGGAAGGGCACAGAACCTTTGGTAATGAACCTTTGGGGGTCTTTGCTAGGTACAGTGTTCCAAACGATGAGTTCCTGGCTGAGAGATAAACAAGTAACAAAGATCAACAGTGGTCTCACAGCCAGCTAGCTAAGCAAGAACTGGAGATGCCACCATGTTTTGTTTCTTGCTTGTCTAATGGTGATTTGAATGTAATAATCAACTCTCCCTCCGCCTTTACCCTGTTGGTTTATAGGCAGAAGGCTCATGGCTGTTTCTGCAGCGCTGAATTTTTAAGCTGCAGAAGGGTGGTGTGTGAACTGCCAGGAGAACCAACATCTCTCGGATCTGAGCACCACGAACCAGAGCATCTTGGGCCTGCACAGCACAGCGAAGTCACGTTAGGTGGAAGCACAGGGTGCTGTTAGTCATGGGTGCTGGCGGAAAGTAGAGGCAGGGGTGTGGGAGTCGGTGGCCAAGACCTTCACCACCACACTCCGCACTGTTCAGCCTGCAGACTGCATTTCCAGCCCTTTCGCTTGCAGGTTTTGCCAATGGGAGGAACTCTGGAACAGAAGCTGGGGAGAACAATGTCTAGCTCGCAGCTGCAACAGCTCAGGCCGATGCTTCCTGCTGCTCCAGAGAGGCCCAGCGCCAAGCACACAGGCAGCCCCAAGCATACAGGCAGCAGCATCTCCCTTGCGTCCTGCCCCTGCAGCGGGGACGCTGTTGAACTTCAGCTCTGGAGGAGATGGCAGCCGGGATGGTGGCTCCCGTGTGTGTGACAGCAGTCGGCAGTAGCTCCTTGTCAATCACTTGGACACTGTTCTAGGTCCGGCCACCCTTCACCTTCGCTCTGGTTCCCTTGCAGCATCTTGGAACCAACTATTCAGGGTCCCAACTCCTCATGTAAAATGTGCCATTTTAATGACGCAGTACATTTTCTTTTACACTCTATTTCCCTATTTTTTGAATTTCAGATGAGTGGGGAAAGTCTTTATTTTACTCTGAAGTACCAATTAAGGCTCTAAAATATAATATTCCTGCCAGCAACTTCTCCCCTTTATTTCCAGTGTGAACTTTGCTGGTAACTTCAAGTTTGAACACTCACAGGAAGTGTTTGATTTAAAGCCATTTAGCACTCAACGCACAAAACCACAAATGAATTAAATCTATGACATGAAAGTTACACAGTGAAAACCATCTCATACATAGAAAATCGAAAAGAAAAAGAAAAGGAGATTGCATCACAGTCAGAAGACTGACCGGACTTATTCTGTGCCTGGTACTCTGTGTGTCCCTTAAGCCCTCCCCTGTCTCCCAAAAACCTTATGTGCAAAAATACATGCTGCAGAAACTGTGCAAGGAATTGTAGCAGTCTTCAAATGCTGTCTACTTGACCTGTTTTCAAGGGAAATAGAAAGTACCCAAATCAGTGCTTCGCATTTTGCACATAATTGGGGAACAAAGATTTCCTTTTATGCTAAGATTCTGTGCATAAATCTCATTTACCTGATAGACTGCGAAGTGAGATGTTTTATAGAAGTTTCATTACAACTAAGCCTCATCCCTTAAGTATGAACTTTAAAGCCTTGGTCATTTTTGAAGAAAATCACCGTAGTAAGGGCTGCATACCTGTCTTCTCATTTGAAACCTAATGGTGATAATTGAGCAGTTTTGTGGGGTCTCTGTTCTCTGACCCAGTCACACTTGGGGACCAAGGAGATACAGGGTACCCGCCCCACTCTTGTCCCAAACATCACTCCTGGCTCCCACCATGGAAGTTCTTGTGTTTACCTTTCCAGAGCTCCATCCACCCTCGGCAACAGCCTCTCCACAGTTCCTTTTCTATATCTGACTCCAGCGAGTGAACCCCTAGCGATCTATGCCAAGGAGCCAGGTAACCATGACGCCTATGCCTGGGGATGTGGAAGGAGCAGGCAGCTGTTGAAAGAAGGGCTTTGAGTAAGAGGAGTATGTGGTAAATGCACTGAGAGTGAGATTACGTGAGAACTTTGACCGCTAAGGCAAGTGTTGAGAAACTTTTTAGTTTTCATGATACATCCGGATTGAGAGGTGGGTAAGACTGAAGTCCAGCTTTAGTACACACACACACACACACACACACACACACACACACATACAGTAGAGTAATCCAGTGTGCCACAGCAAACAATTTTCAACAATTTATGTAGACTACGGATGAACCATAGGATCAAGTTGTAGAACCAATGTAGAGTACACTAAAGAAGTAAGTCTTCCTTTAAATCACTCTTGACCTTTCCCTGTCACCCATCCACACACTCATTCCAGCCCTGAGTGCTGTACACTTTACATTGCAAACTGGTTGCTGCCTCTCTCATTTCCATGGTCGTGTGGTTTATTCCTGTATCATCTCACCCTTGAAGGTGGCAGCCACCAGGGTATCTTGGTGTGTCATGCCCCCATATGATTCATTCTTTGTTAGATGCAGAAATACAGGCTGAAAAATTCCTCTTTGATCAGGCCATAGATAATCAATGAAGCCATTGCCAACTACCAGAAATAGGAAAGTAGCCGACTTCACAGTCGGGAGGTTGGGTCAGTGTAAGCTGGTCCTGGAGATGAGAAGGTTCAGGAGATTTGTCCTCAGGGCTACCTTTTGGCTCAGATCTTACCCACCAATTACCTGATCTCAAAGTGAGGCCAGTGTTGCATACCACTGTGGTTCAGAGCTGGTATCCATAGATGCCCTCTAAATCCCGCCCTGAG